CCCCAATAAAAATCTTTAAAAAAAAAAAAGAAAAAGAAAAAGAAATTAGGCTTTAAAAAAAAAAAAAAGCAATCCTAACATATGTCATTAAGCCAAAGAAGTAATATATCAAAAATAGAGGAAGTGAGACGCAACAATGAAGAACACAAATGCCCCTACTAAGGGTATTGGAAAACTGTATTTGTACAGAATGCACATGTACATTTGTATTTAAGGAAGCTGAGTCCAAATATTTCTGGTGTGTGAGGGAGAGAGAGTGAGAACTTCTGAAAGAAAGTAAGTACTCAGAGTTCAGCTAATGTGTAACGTTTTTTCATCTCTAAAGGAGAGGATAAATTTAATAATTGTTCAAAATCATAAGTGTAAATACATGTATTAAAGTAAAATTAAAATAGAAATGCAATGTATGTGTTCAAACTAATTATGCAACTACATAGAAATCTCAGTATAACCAAAAGTGGACTGGGTAATAATGATAGAAAACTACTTAAAAGGTAATTACTACTTAAATAAAAGGTGGTAATAACTGAAAATTTTTTATTTTCTATCAAACATTAAAAGATTAATTGACCAACTCAGAATTAGATGAAAAGATGCCGCTCAGAAACAACAACAACAACACAGATGCAGATTTATACTGCATTAAATCTCATCTAAAACAAAATCATTGAAGAGTATTTTAAAGGAATAAAGAACGTGTTGCAACCCTGAATAGCCACAGCAATCTTGAGAAATAAGAACAAAGTGGGAAGTATCACGCTACCCAACATCAAATCATACTACAAGGTTATAGTAATCAAAACAGTATGGTACTGGCATAAAAACAGATACATAGACCAATGGAACACAATAGAGAGCTCAGAAATAAATCCATTCATATATGGTCATTTAATCTATGACAATGGAAGCAAGAATTTACATTGGGATAAAGACAGTCTACTTAATAAATGGTGCTGGGAAAACTGGACTGACACATGCAAAAAAATGAAGCTGCACCACGTATTTACGCCATATACGAGAACAAATTAAAAATGGATGAAAGTCTTAAATGTAAGACTCAAAATCATAAAACTGTTAGAAGAAAACATAGGGAGTAAATTTGCAGACATTACCCTCAGTAATATTTTTACTGATATATCCCCTCGGGCAAGGGAAGTAAAAAAATTAAACGTATGGGATTACAACATACTAAAAAGTTTGTTCACAGCAAAGGAAACCATCAATAAAACAAAAAGGCATCCTACTGAATGAGAGAAGATATTTGCCAATGATACATCTGATAAGGGATTGATATCCAAAATTTATAAAACACTCATTCAGCTCAAAGCCAAAGAAACAAGCAACCCAATTGAAAAATGGGCAGAGGATATGAAGAGGCATTTCTCTAACAAGGACATACAGGTGGCCAACAGACATGGAAAAATGTTCAACCTCACTAATCATTATAGAAATGCAAATAAAAACCACAATGGGATACTACCTCACTCCAGTCAGAATGGCTATCATCAATAAATCAACAAACAACAAGTGCTGGCAAAGTTGTGGAGAAAAGGGAATCCTGGTGCACTGTTGGTGGGATTGCAGATTGGTGCAGCCACTCTGGAAATCAGTATGGAGGTATCTCAAAAAACTGGAAATGGAACTACCTTATAACCCAGCAATTCCACTCTTAGGTATCTATCCAGAGAAATCCAAAACACTAGTTCAAAAAAATATATGCACCTCTATGTTTATTGCAGCACTATTTACAATAGCCAAGACACAGAAATATCTGAAATGCCCACTGGTAGATGACTGGATTAAGAAACTGTGGTACATTTATACAATGGAGTTTACTCGGCAATAAAGGAGGATGAAATCTTAACCATTTGCAACAATATAGATGGACCTAGAGAATATTATGCTAAGTGAAATAAATTAATTAGAGAAAGAGAAATACCATATGATCTCACTTATATGTGGAATCTAAAGAACTGAATAAATGAGCAAAGTAAACAGAAATAGTTTCAGAGATATAGAGGAAAAACTGATGGTTGCTAGATGGGAGGGGCGGGGATAAGGGAAAAGGAAAGAGGATTGGACAGCACAAAGTGGTAACTACAATATTGCCATGTGAATATGAACAACAGTTTGGGGAATATAATCAATTATGTTGTAAATATTTTGTAGGGTGTCAGATGGACACATGTCTTGTTAGGGAGACCACTTCATGGACGGTGTAGATGCTTGACCACTACACTGTACACCTGAAGCTGAATAATATTGTATGTGAACAGGATATGGAGTATAGTATAGGGAATAGAACCAGTGGAACTGTAACAGCTATATATGATGTCAGAGGGGTAGTAGGTTGCCAGAAGGGAGTTATCACTTTGTGAGGGGTGAAGTGTCTACCTATTACATTGTTTTGTACACCTGAAACTAATAAAAAAAGAACATGTTGCCAATGTGATATATAGATGATGTAGTACAGAATTGTACACTTGAAACCTATATAACTTTATTAGCCATTGTCACCGCAATAAACTTTAATAAAAAAAGAATGTGTTGCTATTATTTAATAGAATTAGCTGATAGTTACATAAATATTCAAAAAATTGAGCACAGGGCAAAAAGTGTTTATAAAAATTATTTTATGATGATGTATTAGAAAATGGGACACTCCAATATAATTGTATTAACTAATGTCACCCCCAAAAATTTAATAAAAATTATTTTATCTTTTGAAATAACATTTTGCTTAGATATATAGCACTTGTAACCAGATGTTCATCTAATCACATATCCTTGAAGTACATAAAGTCAGTACATATGTGGAGATTGAGACAAACATTTATAATATCAATTAAGTGGGTGAAGAGATATTTTTATTAGAGAAAGTGCCACAAAAATGCTTGGCCTGATGTGTACAAATTATAAAGCTTTGTGTTATTTGTACTGTATAAACATGCATAAAATTATTTGTGGTAAATAAATAAAGTCTTATTATATAGCAATAAGGTAAGGATGCATGTACTTAAGGTCCATATTGTATCCATAATGTTTAACATTTAATAGACTAAAAAGCTAGTATTTTCATATCTTTTCAAATTGCTATCCTATACTTTCTGTATTCTGAGTAGGTTGCAATTTAATTAGCAGTCAACAATAAGAAGATATTGTGAAAAACCTCAATACTGCATGAAATAAGTAAAATGCTTACTTATAAGTAATAAGTAATATTTACTTGAATTTATGTAATATTAAGGAAGAGAATGATGAAGTTATATCACGTGCAAACTTGGAGAATGCCAAAGAAAATAAAGCAGACATTAGAGAGATGCTAGCAGGATGGTGGATAAGGGTTTTCTGCCTTCGGGCCCCCACTTAACATTAATTTTGACAACCCCAGATGAGAGAGTTCCTTTGTGGAAACCTGGCTGTCTAGCAGAGAAGTTACAGCACACTGTCAGAGCAAAATATTTGAGAACAGACCCACTAAATAGGACATGAAAAGCAGTTTCATTTGGAACCATGCCCCATCTGGAACCAATCCTGGACTGTGTCCCTAAACCACCACCAAATGAAGTTGAACCCAATCTCTGAAATCACTTCCAAGTCCATACTGCTGGGCTCCATCACAATTAAGATTCTTGGGTCATTATGGGTTAGGAACTCACATGGACCCAGACTAAATTCTGAATTGGTATTGTCTGCTATTGGTCGTATGTTTTGTTCAGAGCCCCAGTTTCTGAAAAGTGGCTCATTGTCTGATTGGACACAGGTGGGGCTGATCAGGAAGGTGAGGTCATGTGTGGTAAAACACACAATGCCCACATTTTTGTGAAGTATTTGCTGTAAGTGGTCAGCAGCCACTTTGTTGTAGATGTGGTCGCTAGTGTAGGGTATGGCTTTCACCTCCCCAGCTCACCAGGTTGTATGGAAAATAGTGATGGTTATGGAATAGGAAAGCACTGTCCACCAGTAGTGACAATCAGACTCCAGTTGAGAAGAACCTGGCCAGTATTCCAGAAGATTCTATGGTTTTCATGTTAAAGGAAATGTCCCAACATCACCTAACTTGTAACCGCCATCATGGATTTCATGAATTCTTTTTTTTCCCTTTATTTGCAGTGTTTATAATAGGATACATTCCTAAATAATACATGGTGTCTCCTTTTTAACTTTAGGTAAATGGAATAATACTAAACGTGTAGCTTTTAATCATCTTACATTTATTTATTTATTTATTTACCATCATGTTTGAAGATGGGCATACATGACCATGTGGAATTTTAATTTGTGCATTTTCATTGATATAAAATATTTGACTTTTCAACATGAAACACCAAATTATCTCTTGTCTTTTTTTGGTGCATGTAATTTTGCCATGGTCTTTGGCTCACATTCATAACTCTCTTGTCAATGTCTTGTAAATGATGCATATGTACACATTTTCTCTAAGGCATGGACTCAAAGATATAGCTATGTGTCTCTCACTTTAACTAGAAAGGTGTAATCTACTCTCTACATTGATGAGCATTAATTTGCACTCCTACTAGTAATGTGTTTGAGTTCTAGGCTCACTGTTCTCTCCCACCACAAATATTAGGATTTTTCATTTGCATCTCATCTGCATGTGCTGGGATTGTGGTCTTGTGTTTTCACTGAAAGTGTGCCACCAAACTGAAGTGGAAATAATCATTACCCATAAAATACAAGGCAATTTAGGTGCACTTTGGGGCGCTCAGAGCAGAATTAATTGTGTCTGACATTGGCTTGTACTGTTTTGTGGAAGTCAGTTCTGTGCATCACTCCCCAAGTTTGCATCAAGACCACATCTGGGCACCGGGAAGTTGGCCATGAACCGAGCAAGTGGCACTGCCATGAACAAGTGTCTGTTGTTGCATATACACATTATATTTATTTATAAATTACAGTTCACATTCAATATTATTTTATATTAATTTCCGGTTTAAAGCATAGTGGTTAGACATGTATATAATTTACAAAATGATCCTCCCAAATTTACAAAATGATCCCCTCCTGGCACCATATGTAGTTATCACAATATTATTGACTGTATTTCCTGTACTGTACTTTACAAGAATTGGCTTTTTAACTGAGTGTCTCAGAGGCATTACAGACCTGGTGATCCCTTCAAACACCAATGTCTTGATTCCAAGTGGAGACATTTCTGAAGAATTTACACAGGTAGCATCTGATGCAAATGAAAGGCTTGGAGTCCAGAGAGAATGTTAGGGCACCATTTTGGATTTATCTCCCTTGGGCTGGCTCTTTGTTATGTCAACTTATGGGTTTATTAAAATAGACTGCATGCTCTGATCTGAAGACATGGAGACTCCATAAGTGCTTCAAAGTAAGGTATGCGTAATGAGAAATAAAGGAAAATGTGCTCCATGAAAGTGTAGGGAGGTGTGGACCCAAACGTGTCACGTGGGAAAAATGCTGATGGCACAGAAATGGGGAAAGAGAGGAGCCAGTCAGAGAGCTTAGCAGTAGTTGGGAGAGAAAGTGGCAGTTTCATGGCAGAAGGGCCCAGACCTTGTCCCTGCCCATGAAAAATGCGTCGTCCACCTGCAGCAAGCTGCAGACAGGTTGCACAGCATGTGCCCCACACGCTCAGTCAAAATGTCCTGGGCATAAGAATTCATCTCCAAGAACGCACCACTATGAACAGTGCATTGTTCCCTCCTGTGTCACCTCCTGGATGCATCATGGGTCTCTCTCGAGCTGTGATGAGCTTGAAACAGCAGAACACCGAGGGCCACCAGGATCATACCAGCCACGCCCATCCGGATGAGATTCTCCACTGTGTAATCCTGGGGATGGGAGGCTAGGAATTGTGGATAAAGAGGTCACAGAGGTCAGGGCAGACCAAAATCACCCCAGGTGCCCTGGATGTCCCCAGGGCACCTGCATCTCATTGACAGGACATGACCCTTAGAGCCCAGCCACATATCTGAGGATTTCTCCTACTCACCACTCTTGGGGTCTGACGTGTTTTGTGATGGGCTGATGGTGTCAGCTGCTCCTGAGAATCATGACATGAAGGTGTGAGTGAGGACTAGGGGAGACATGAGTTTCCTTTCTGTGTCTATGCTCTCAGATGCACCAGTTCCCTTATCCTCTGTGACACAGACACTTAATGAGCCCTGTCTCTACTCTGCCAGGTTCCCTTTGCTTCCTCATCGGACTATCTTGGTCTCCCTGTGATATCTGAATACAGAACCTGCTCTGAGTCACTTTTATAAGAGTTAGCTGTGCCCCAGACCTCGCGAGTAGCAAGAAATATGGTCTCAATACATAAATAATTGAGTGCCATGTGTTCTGTGTTCATTCTGAGACACAAGACCCCATAAGCTTATTTCCCTAAGCTTATTTCCTTTAAGCTTTTTACCCACTTTTTCAATAGCTGGGGACCCAGCGTTCATGGAAAAGGAATTGGTGTCAGGGGCTCCTGAAAGTCAGAAGCACAAAGGAGTAAAAGTAGGAGCTGGGTCCCCTTCACCCCACCCCACCCAGTTTTGTTTTTCTCTGTGGCCTCCATTTTAAATCCCCATAGCTGAGGATTTCTCTTACTCACCACTCTTAGGGTCTGATTGTTTTGTGATGGACTGATGGTGTCAGCTGTTTCTGAGAACCAAATGAAAGTGGGGATGGATGACGAGTTGATGTCACTGAGGCCTTTCCCCTGGGCTCTGAGTCTTTGTAACTTTCCATTTCTTATTATATAACTGTTACCAACCAGTCCCCTCACAACCCCTTTCTCTGCTATAAGGGTTCTTTCTGTTCTCATGGATTCTTTCAGTTTCCCTGTGCCTTTTGAATTTAGATTTTGCTTCTGATTCATGCTGGAACAGAGTTTGGCTGTGCCCCCAAAGCTCAAGATTGCCAAGGAAAATGGTCTCAGTACAAAAATAATTAGTTCCTCTCATCTCTCTATGTTCATTCTGCAACATCAGACCATGTAAGTTAACTCTTCTGGATATGAGAGCTTACATTTATTCAACAGCTGAAGACCCATATATATCCATATATATATCCATATATATATGGATTAAACCACACAGCATAGGTTGTGCTTATTACATGAAAAAACAACTAGGTTAAAAGAAGGCAGGACAGATCTGAATAGTGTCACAGTGAAGGTGGCACTTGGAGATGACATTTGAGCTGATTTCTGAATAGCAGAAAAGGCCTTAGAGCAGCCACGTGAAGATCCAGATAACATGCTAAAATATTAGAGAACTTTTCCCAAAACAACCTGGATGTAACAAAAAAACGGACAGAAATTGATAGGTCAATAGTGTCTCCTATCTATCTATCTATCATCTATCTATCTATCTATCTATCTATCTATCTATCTATCTATCTACCTACCTACCTACCTATCCATCCATCCATCTATCTATATTTGATGTGCTTACCTAAAAATAATTTGGTTTAAAATGTAGATGTTTTCTTAAAGTGACACTCAGGTACATCTTACATTGTCATCATTGTTATATGGTATTTGATGTTACATAAAATTGTCACACAATCTGGAAATAAAGAAATTTTAAATTCCTTATGGTTGATAGCACTATTATTTATAAATCAGAGGAGATGAGTTGAAAAACCATAGGAAGTTGGAGAATCTGTGGTAAGTTAATAAATATAAAATTAATACAATTAAACCAGTATCATTGTTATGTATACTTAATAAGTACTTAGACAATACAGAGAAATTAAAGATCTTACTTATAAACTAATAACATAATTGAATAATTCTTAAGCTGTGTGTAGACTATTTTATGAATGAAACTTCAAAATGTATCTGAAGTCAAAAACGAACCTTTTAAAACCTTTTTAATAAAAAACTTCATATTAATGAGAAGTTATTCTCCATAATAAATATATAAAATTAATCTAATCCCAATGAAAATAAAATTATTTATTTTTGAATCTTGACTCCATATAAAAAAATCTAATTTCTAAGTATACGTTTACAGGTATTGCTTAAAAGTTCTCAAAACAGAGCACCAGTGGACAAGTATGCACAGAAATGCAGACATGAATTGCACACAGGGTCTGGCAGGAAGACCTTAGTTACTCCGTGAGCTAAGCGCCTTCCGTCCTTGGTCTCAGCTGAGCACTGAGTGCATGGAGGTCTCCGGGTGAGCACAGGGAGCCATGCAGAGTGGTGCCCATGGGTAGGGATGCTTCTCTCTATAGGAGAAGGTCTGATGTGGGCTCCACTGTCACCCACAGCAGATCCCGCCTTGGCCTGAGCAGCCTCTTGTCCTGTTCTGAGAAGGCTCGGGGACCCCAACATGTGTGGGGAAGGGGTTCAATATAATGGTCTCTGGAAATGTGAAACGGGAGCTGCTGAGGGAGTGTCCATCTGTCCTCTTGCCAACTCCCCCAGCCTCTCCTTCCCCCTCAGCCCGGCATCTTGCCTGCCCTCCAAGTCAGGTGTGGACACCAGATGCTACAATCGCAGCCCCCTCTTCCTCTTGCACTCAAGACATTTTCCAAGCCAGTTAGGGTCTGGGCACAGGGTCAGCTGTGCAGGGGTGTTGGCTTTTAGTAGAAAGTCTCACAGATTCTGTGTGGGACCAGGAAGAGCTGAGATGCTAAATGGGCATTTCCCCATATTTTCTGTCTCCATAATATTGTGGCTTCTGCTTGAAAGCTGAGCCTCCAGGCCTGGTGGATAAAAATTACACACACCTGGCCCTGTGTCCCTCATCTTCATCCATACAAGGCCACACTTACTTGGACTAGCCAGATAGGCTCAGAGAGGGTGGACCGGGAGCAGATCTAGGACACCCACTTTTCAGATGCCCCAGGTCAGAAATGAAAGGGCCTCTGCAGCACATGGCCAGGCAGCCCCCCTTATTCACACTGGGAAGGACTTCTCAGAGTTCAGCCTCCCAGGACATAGAGATGCAGACCCACCTCCGGGGGTCCCTCCCATGGGATGTGCCCCTGCTCCAGGCTGCTGGTGAGTAGCAAAGCAATGGTTCTGAGAGGGACACAACAGAAGTCAGTGGGTTGGACTTCTGTCCTGCAACTTCAGTCTAATCTCACTTCCTTTTAGCTTCACCCACAGCTTAACTGCATGCCTCTCCCATCCTCTACCCTGCCTGAGACTCAGGGGTGGGGTGTCTCAGGGGTGGGACGTCCCTGCCCATTTCACCCGTTTCACCAGATGACTCTCGTCACCCTTACGCTCCAACTATTTCCATCATATCTCAGGGTTTCCTGGAGACCGACCCAGTGATGACCTCGGAGCTGAGAAAGGACAGGGACAAGAGTTGCTTTCCTGACACCAGGAGCTCTGGGACAAAAAACCTGTCCAAAATCATGACCACAGGGACCACTGAGACCCCTTCTGCCAGATGATCCCACTCATACATCATAGACCAAGTACGGGGAGGTGAGGGGCGGGAGCTGCCTTTTCCCCACTTCAACCCGGCTGCTCCTCCTCCAGACTGGGCCCCAACATCTCCCTCTGCCATAACTGCCCCTCCTATCATCTGCCAGCCGCAGAGCCCCTGGCATTCTGTGACTCCCCTGGCATCTCTGCCTGACTCCCAGCCCCCCTGGGACACAAGCCCGTCCTTGAGTATCTGAGGGACATTGGATCCTCTGAGAGACTCAGAACTTCCCTGGGATGGTCTGTGCTCCCTCTGAGCAGAGTTCCCAGGGACTCACCAGCTGCGGAGATGGGCCCTGTGGGTTGGGGGATGGGGTTTGCAAAGGGTCCTGGGAATAAATATATGAAGAGGTGAGGGGCTGGGGCTGCCCTGGAGTCCCCACCTCAGTCAGACTTTTGTTCTGCTCTGCCCTGTTATGACCCCAAGACCCTCAGGTATCCCATCTGGAACCTTCTTGACTGCACATGAAGGGCAGGGGTGAACAGGGATGAGAACACTGCTGAGGAACAGATCTCCTCTGGCTGACTTCCCCTCAGAGCCCCCTCAATGCCATCCCAGCTAAGATATCTCTTTAGGTCACAACCTCAAGTAAAATGTAGGGACACAGAGGGGACAGGACAGTGAGCTTTTCACCTGAGACCAGGAGTTTCAGGGGGTCACTGGGGTGTGACAACAGGTAGGAGGAAGTGTTATGTGAGCTGTAGCACCTGTAG